CATAACGTCCTCTGAGGTCATTACTGTACTCATTTTGTACTCAAAGACCTGAGGAACCTCAGAGAAGCCAAATGACTGGCCCAAGGGAACAGTGTTCGTAAACAGAGGAGTCTTTATTGCTGTTCTGCCTTGTCTCCTGGATGTGGAGTCCAATTTCAGGATTTGAAAGGAAGGCAAAAGAATTTCTGTAGGCTTGGCTTAACTAAATGCAGTTGTGAGTTGTCAGTGGTGGACCAGGTTGGAATCTCTTCAGGGAAACGTTCCTCAGCAAGAGCAGCATGATAAACATTCTCCCCTATTCATTCAAGATGGTGGGCCACAAACACAAAGAATGTGTCCACAGATATTTAGACAGAAACAGGAAGGAGAGGTGCCCAGGTGAAGGCTATATTGAACATTGGCCTAGCCCTGGGTTTCTCCCTTCTTTTATGTAATGAGTTCGTATATTTGACCCCTCATTTAAATATTAAGATAGTAGTAATTAAATGTGCGCTTAATTAATATTAATAATAGCTTTGTGAATTAAACCTCATGCCTCTAACAAATTAATATAAAATCATTGAGTTTCGTGGAGAGAATTTTAATAGATGAGGGGAAATGGGTTCTGAAACCTCACGTCTGGTTTTCTTTCCCCCAAAAGGGCATCCGCCAGAAGGAACTTCAAATGTGAAGAAATACCACAAATAATGCATTTGCTGTTTCTACCTCCATGTCTTATTGAAAACACCATTCACTGTTCCTCCAGTAAGTTCCTTCCTTCAACAATCAGGCCACTGTCCCTGAGACTTGGCAAGGGTCTCTGACATAACCAAGAGCAAGGGAAATGTTTTAACAGCTCTGTTAATACGGCAACAGAGGTTTATTGTTATCAAACTGACACTTAAAGCAAAGCCACTGCCTCTTCCACAAGGCCACCTGCTCTGCTTGGAGGCCCCTCAGGCTGCGAGGGCCAAGTCCCAGCAAGGCAGAGGATTAGCTCTCAGGCTGCAGAGCAGGAACCACAGAGCACAGAGATTTGGAGCCTGGGATTTAGAGTCCATGAGCAATGGCTTCTCTGACAGAATCTGTGAGCTGTGGCAAATTGCTTAATATTTTTAAACACTCACACACTTAGCACTTATCCTGGCACATAGTAAGCACTCAATAAATAGCTGTGTTTTCTCCTTTTTAAAATTCTTTTTCAACTTGAGATGTGTGTGTGTGTGTGTGTGTGTGTGTGTATTTATGCAATGTAAGTCTTAAATATACATTCTGACGAATTTCTACACACGCAGACATCACCCAGATCAAAATATGGAACATTTACAGCACCCTAGATTTCTCCATGATGCCCCTTCCTCCTTATATCTATCTCCTTATCAGAGAAAACAACTTTCCTGATAACTACCACCATATGCACATTTTGTCTACTCTTGAATTTCCTGGAAGTTTCATTGAACAATATATATACTCTTTTGATTTTTGTTTCTTTCATTCAGCATTGTGTCTGCACATGTTGTTTTGTGTATCAATGGGTTGTTCTATTTTATTGAAGAGTATTCTGTTGTGTGGACGTGGCACTATTTGTTGATCCCCTTCTCTGTGGGTGAATATTTGGGTTATTTCCAATTTGCTATTAGGAACAAAGTTGCTAGGAACCTTCTTGTCCATGACTTATATTAATTTTTTTTTATAGGGATAGAGTTTGAAGTCTGTTTCCCTCATTACTGGGAGACCAACTGTTCCAAGCCATTTTTCTCTTCTGCATTTCTCATCTGTCATTTCAGTGAATATATTCAAATACTGACTGAAGCAATTTCTAATTTGTTCCATTGTTTCTGTATCTCTTTTTATACTATGCTGTTTAACTCCTGAAGAAAAAAAAAAGGGGGGCCAAAGGTAATTGGAGAGCCTCAAAAGATATTTATAATGCATCCATTAAATGGAGATAAAAAATTATTCATTTGATTTTAATGAATTGTCTGGTGTTTTTTTTTTTATTTCAGAACATTTCTTTAGACAAAACGCTAAGAAAAGAAATATATTCTGGAAAGAAAAAAAAGATTAGTGTGTATGCATCTTGCTCTCAAACACTTATAATCTGCAATAAGGGAAGTTCATGTTCAATTCTACTATCACATGATAGCATGTGCTCACTGCAATTAGAGAAATCCAGATAAAATCATCTTGCTCAAAGATTTCTTACTGAAGCACAAAACCCTTTCACAATTACCACACTATCGGTCAATGAAGAAACATGGAATTTCAATCTATTAACATTTATAAAGAACTTACGAAGACACTATACAAAGTAACATGTTGCACAGTTTGAAGAAAATTTGGAATGAAAATGCTCCCCAAATACAGGGATAGTTTGAAGAAGAGCCTCTTTCAACTGACTGACACAGGAATGAGTACTTTTTATTTTGTCCTGATTATCAAGTAAAATCTTCATTTACCTGAGATTCTTTTTGAAACTACAGTGGAAAAAACATTTAGCTCTTCCCAAATCACAGGGGGAAATGAGGCACAAAGAAATTGAACACACTTAATCACGGTGCTTTACATAAAGGATGCATTGGAAAGCTAAGAAAAATGTAATCTCTCATTTCAGACATAAGGACCACCTTGGAAGCCATCAAAAATGTTCCAGCAGCTGGGTACAGTGGTGCACGCCTGTAATCACAGTGACTCGGGAGGCTGAGGCAAGAGGATCACAAGTTCAAAGCTCGCCTCAGCAACTTAGCAAAGCCCTGAGCAACTTAGCAAGACCCTGTCTCAAAATTTTTTTAAAAATATTTATTTATTTATTTATTTTTAGGTCTAGATGGACACAACACAATGCCTTTTATTTTTATGTGGTGCTGAGGATTGAACCCGGGTCCCGCCCGTGCTAGACGAGCGCTCTACCGCTTAGCCACAATCCCAGCCCCCTGTCTCAAAATTTTAAAAAAATAAAATAAAATGGGCTGGGAATATGGTTCAATGGTTAAGTGTTCCTGGTTTCAATCCTGGTACCAAAAATAAAAAATATTCCAGCAAGGAGCTGGTGATGTGCCTTAGTGGTAGGGTGCTAGCCTGGCATGTGAGAGGCTCTCTGAGTTCCATCCCCAGCGCTGCAAATAAAGAAAGAAACAAACAAATACAACAACAGCAGAAGCCATAAAACAAAAACAAATGTTCTAACACATGATACAGAAGCAAACTACAGGGAAAGATACAATCAGAATGACAGCAGAGTGGGCCCTGGGTTACAGATGTTTCACTAAATGTGTATTTTTCTATATTTACATGCATAGATAAGTCTCAGAGATTTTCTACTCCAAAACCTGTGACTCTCAAAGACCAGGCATAATAGCAACCTCCTCCTCCCTCTCACAAATCATTGAAAATCAGTAGTACTTGAGGTCCCCATGATGCATCAGGCAGGTAGTCAACCTTCGCTATCCATTTGCCTGACATTCCACAGGTCTAGAAACAGTGAAGTGACTGCCTTTTTAAATACAAATATTTTTTGTTTCCATGGGCTCTTTTAAAACAAATTTACTATTAAGTATGCAAATAAGTTGTCCAAAAGATCTAGCCAGCCTAATACTTAGTTAAACCAAAAAATGTAATTCCAAAGACTTGACAATAAAACCCCTCTTGCCCACTATAGTTCTTTATTCCGCCCTGTGTGTTTTGAACACATGTGCCTGGCTTGGGAATTTCATAGATGCAAATGGAAATCCTGGCTTCTACATATATGATCCCGAATAGGTCAGGACAAGAGCCATCTGTCTCAAATCCCAGTGTGTAACAGCATCCATGAGAGGAAGTCACGGAAACTCTAATAGTCAGTCCTCTGCCCTAATTATTTGAATGAATAGGCCTTAATTAGAAAAGTCATTTAGTAGCAGCATCCGTGAGTTTCCCTCAGGAGCCATAGTGATGTTTCATCAAGAAGTCTTTTTTAACCTGGAGCTTTAAAAAAGAGATCAAAGCAGGTTGAGCACTATGTCAAAGTTGGGCAAGCCACGTCCCCAGCCCAGGCCTGTTTCAGTTGAACAACTAGTTAAAATTAGGGAACAAAGAGTGGAAGAGGTTGAAGTAGTCCAAAAACAATGAAGTCAAATGAAAGGCCCCGTGTATTTAGAATCTAAGAGAAGGGTGCTCTGAGGTGAACAGATATGGTAAGTTTGCCCTCCTCCCAACTTGGCTGAGCACCAACCCTTCACAGAGCTGTCCAAACAGTTCATGCAGCTGCGACTTTCCATGTGGTGGGCCACCTGCCCCATCATAAATAAAGTGGTCCATGGTCATGGTCTCATTCGATTCACCCACCCATACTATGAGACAGGTGTTAATAAACCTATTTTGCAGATTAGAACACTGATCCCAAGACGTCCAGTGGAATGGTATGCCAGGGTATCCTGGATGTTTCTCAGAAATAGGGGACTCTAGCACAAACAGTGGATGTTGTCACAGAGTGCAGGAAGGTAGCTGAGCCTTGGTTCATCCTCTGAGGTCCTGAGATGAACCCCTGTCTGGAAGTCACCTCGGGGCCTCTACTGTTCATTTTCTTTAGCAATAGCATCTAAGGAACTTCAGTTTCATGAGTGGATGCACCCAGGGTGCAGCTCTTGGAGATTCTGATGGCATCACATCAAAAGCCTGGCCCAGGGCCTTGGCCTGCTGGGCTAGAAACCCCGCTACAAGCCTTTGCCGGTTTCAGCCAATGTACTTCATACCAAGCCGAGAATCCATACCAGACTCTGTCTTGAAGAATCCAGGCTCATGGAGCAATTTATTGATCTGGCAGATGATTAAAAGACAGCAGGGATGATCTCAAGTGTTGCTTTGGTTTTTCCATCTTGAGAGTGGATCTGACATTTCCTCAGGGAATCATCTAGCCTTGTCTGCTACTGCAGAAGAGGCAGATGGCTTTTTCTCAGTGCAATCAAAGGTCACAGCAATGTCCCAGTCAGCGTCTCCTGGCTCTATTCAGTTCACTATGAGACACTGGGCAGACACATACTCACCTTAGCTCTGGAGCCTGCCAATGCCTTGTTCCAGGTCAGGAAGGAGCCCACAGGAAGACCACTGTACAGGTCCTGCACTTCACTCTTTCTCTCTGTGGAATGAGGGAAAATCACTGCCAACATTGTCAAGTGTTCAGGCTGCTGCAATAGAAAAGTGGGGGACAACTTGCTTGCATACATTGCAAAGACAGCTGACCATTTCAGCCACAGGGAAAAGAGATGGAATTTGGGCTGATGCACACAAAGTCACCTGGAGATGTCATTTTAAACAGACATCATTCCTGCCAAACCTTGGATTGACCTAAGCTGTGCAGCACATTACTTGGCCTAGCCCCTAAGTAGATATGCTTTGGTTTCAGGAGAAGTCGCAGCAGGTTAAATGCTCAGGCAGCAGATTATTTACAACCTGTTCCTAACACAAGAGCTTTTACAGCCGTAGTTTAGTGGACAAAAGTACATATTAAAAGGCTAATGTAATTGCTCATGTTGGCAGTGAAATATGACCAGCTTGGATTTCAGTAAGACACCTATAGCAACGAAGCATGCTACAATCTGATTAAAGAGTGAACAGCTCTCTACTGGAACAAATTATATACTGCCCAGGCCAGCAAGAGGAGAACCTGAATTGCAAATAAATCCTGACAATTAACTTCTTCAAAGCAAACTTCCCATTCCTCTTCTTTCACAGTTTCTGACACCATTGTTGGGTATGTACACATATGGTATTTTAAACAAGTTGCAGCACAGCAGCCCAAGTCACCAAAGA